ATTTATTGTAATTAAAATGAAAATTTTTCATTTCTATCGTAATTACTTTTAGAATATACACTACCGGCCAAAAGTTCGGAACCACCGAGCATTGCAATTTACACAAAAAATTTCCAAAAGAAGTCGAGCGACTTTGAGAATTTTTTATCATTCGAATCAATTGATATGAGTTAAATTGATAAATGTAGAGTCGAGATAAACTTCAAATCTATAAAAAATTAGCAGCAGATTGATGAAAAGTGGGAGGTGATTCCAAACTTTTAGCCGGTAGTGTATATGTTCAGTATTAACGTATTTAATGTTAGTACTATTTTTCTAATTTCAAGACAAATGAAGTATGATTGTGTATTATTCATCTCAATAAGTAAAAAATTCTCCTTCCTGAAGAAGCTAATGTCCCACAAAACCTAATTTCCCATAATACTAATTAACTCTATCAAACAAAAACAAAAAATACTCCTCGAAAACTATCTCTAATCCGCAGTTTCTCAAACGGTCCTCTCTGCAACACAAGAATTCTTCTCCATCCGTAACTCCTCGAGTTCGGTCACAGACGGAACCAACATACAGAGCAAATGAATCGTAACCGGCACAAGGGAGAGCCGGAGTGCTGCGGGGGCGAATTAATTCGCGAATTCGATAAAACTCGCTCACGCGACAATTTCACGGCTGAAAGTCGGCGTCTCGGAGAGAAAGAGAGAGAATCTCGGCCGGACAGGCGGCGCGGAAAATAAAAAGGCTGCTGCAACGGGGGACTGTGGGGACGGGATGGGCCACGAAGAAACTCGATTGAAAAGTTTTCGCTCGTGTCGCTCGAGGCCATCGGGAAACACAGCCGTGAGATAGTTTTCCGCATGGCGTGGTTGCAGTTGCGAGCATAGTTCGAATGTGGGCTGAGAACATTCTCGGAAGAAGTCCACCGTTTCCCCTCCCGCCGTCGCGCGAGATTTTCGATGAAACTGCACACGTGTGAGTGTCACGGGGAAGAAACGCGGTTTGACTTTCCGCGAAAAACCGCTGAATTTGAACGGAAGGAAGGCTTTCTAGAGGAGGGCTTTTGTAAATGGGATAGAATCGAGGGAGAACGATGAGAATTAGAGCAACAGATGGTTAACTGTCCCGAAGCGATTATTCCGAATGGGACGCTTCTTTCGTGATAATGTCGGTCGGATTCAGCGGTCGATCTGAATTCACGAATGTGTGGATCTGTGAGAGGGATTTTAGAAAAAGTGGTCTGCGCGAGAGATAATGGGAACAGTGGACGTACGGGACCAATTTCAACGTACTGGGTTGTTCACGTTTATTATCAGATTTCTGTAGATAAGACGAACGAGGTTATCGGTGAAATTTTTCCAGGTTTGTAGTTTTAGGAAAAATGATATTTGTTAAATAGAGTATAATCCTTTGTAGTCTTAGTAAAAATGATCATTATTAACCCTCAGACAGCGGATAGCGTGATAGTTTCATGCACAGTGGGTGCTGGGTCAAATATGACCCAATACTATTTAGAATCATTTTCATAGGCAAGCGAAGCTACGTTCTTTTTTATTTTACTGGGCACTGTATTGTTCGAAATTATAATAAATACATTTATGTTAATAAAATAACAAACGTATTTATAATATAAGGAGAGGAGATCTAGAAGATGTCAAGAGACATTTAAAAGCTGGGTCAACGGTGACCCAGCATCTGCCGTCCAAAGGTTTCAATAAGCTTTGACCATCGGAAAACTAGATTATTTATGCCTTTGTTGAAAAAAAAAACTCTTCATTTCTATATAGGTGCAAGAGGTTGTTGAAAACGTTCTTTGCTTCAGTTTCTTTGTTAAATTTGGCTATGAAATGTAGGGTGTAGAATTTGACCTAGATTCGCGTATCACTGTCGTAGCAATCTGCGATTTAATAGTGAAACGATTAACGAACTACCACGATCGGTGGTTCGCCAATTATTTTACTATTAAATGGCAAATGGTTTTGGTTCATTTCAAGCTTTATTCTGCTTATATTAAAAGTGTTATCTGGTAGCACATTTAGATAAATACAAGAACAGAATTAGAAAAATAGAAGAGGAGAGTTTCACTATTTTTTATATGCAATATGATTGCTATAAGAATGCAAGGTAAGGTTTATTGAAATTTCAATAAGAAATTCGCATTTTCTTTTTTTTAGTTCTTAACTTTTCACAATTAGTAAAATAACGAGGAAATTTCAGATTCTAAAGTTAACCGTACTTCACTCTGCAGAATTTAGGAATCAAAATGCTCAAATTAACCCGCTGAACGGTGGAATTCTAATTTCAAGGGAAACGAATAAAAAGGGCAAATATTCGGAATACGAAAAGAATTCTCTGTCGTTGTATAGGAAAACTTTGTTCGCGTCCTAAAAAACGTTCGTCGCTTCAAAAGTTATTCTTTGTTCTCCGTTGCTGGTACGCTCCCAATGAGGACACTGGGTTATTTTCAAATTATCGTTATGGATGCACTAGTGGATCACAATGATACTTTTTTTTTTTTTGCGAAATAATCATGCCACGATTACTTTTTAAAAGTGATTCGCGATTACGTTGAAGGAAAATAACGACGTGTGCAAATGACAAAATAAGAATATTTAATAATTACTTGTTAAAGGAACACAACGCTTAGTACAAAAGAATGTTTAAAGAACAAAACATTGAATATAACTTACTTTTTCATTATAATTGACTTCATA